GTGGGTGCCGCAACAGGCGCAGGGGTGGATGCGACAGCCGGCAAAGGCCAGCATGGGAGTTGCCACGTTATATTACAATATATAGTATATTTTAACGTACCTTAATTTACCCGGAAGACAGAAACGTAAGGAGGAAGGCAGTCGCTTGTGGCACAGCCACAGCCTTCCTAGCTGAAGGCACCGAAGCGGATGCCACATACGTAGTGACGGTCCCCGCCGGCAGCAGGGAGGCTGTTACGTGCAGCCAGAGGGCCCCCAGTCCTGCTCGACGCCGGTGTGAAGCAACGGAAGCTTTCGGAGCAGGAGGCGAGGCAGAGCTGTAAGCTCGGCATGCCTGGTGTTCCTGGGGTGGCCATGGCAATTCTGTGCTGAGGAGGGTGCCAGGGGCAGAGCTGCATCTGCAGAGCTCCTGCAGGTGACTGGAAGCTCCCGGAATGAAGCCCCTGCCATCCTGCAGTTCCCAAACGGAGCTGCACTGGGCCAGTGAGCTCCTGCCCACCTCCGTGAGCACACCCGTAGCTTTGCCCACAAGTTTGAAGTCTGCCACCAACTTAGCGGTGCCTCCGCGGGAAGCTGTCCTGGTTTCGGCTGGGATAGAGCTGATTTTCTTCTTAGTAGCTGGTATGGTGCTGTGGTTTGGATTTCGGCTGAGAATAATGTTGAGAACACCCTGACGTTTTAGTTGTTGCTCAGTAGTGTTGGTACCAGTCAAGGATTTTCAGCTTCCCCTGCTCTGCCGGGCGCACGAGAAGCTGGGAGGGGGCACAGCCAGGGGGGCTGACCCAGCCTGGCCAAGGGGCTATTCCCTACCGTATGGCGTCGTGCTCAGCGTATGAAGCTGGGGAAAGAAGAAGGAAGGGGGGGACAGTCGGCGTGATGGCATTTGTCTTCGCAAGAAGGGCTGATAGCCCTCCGAGGTGAGAGGCCTGGCTCCGCACGCTGGAGCTCTCTCCCAGCCCAGGGAAAGGGAGCTGGGGGCTCAGGGAGGGAGCACGGGAGCAAGAAAGGAGCGAGCCTGCTGGGAAGATGGCCACAGGCTGCCTCTCTGCAGGGGGAAGGACCAGTGCTAGCCAACAGCTGTGTGTGCGCGAGGCAGCTGGCCCTTGGGAACGGGGCAAGCAGCTGCAAATTGAGCAAGCGGTCGCTGCAGGAGCCTCCCTTCGGCACTGTCCTCGAAGAAGTGGGGTGGCGCTGGCCGCCTCTGAGCAAGCGGCTCAGCATCAAGGAGGCAGCCGCTCAGCAGACGATGACATAGGGACGATGTCACTGTTAGCTGATTGTGTCGCCCGAGGACAGCTGAACGGTAAGCGATGACCTACAGAGGAGGTCACTGCCAGGCGATTGTGACTACCCCCGTGAGGGCAGAGGGCCAGTCGTCCCGCACAGAGGCCCCGGGCTCACTGTGCGACTCGCACTGTGCGGTGAGGTCCTCGTCCTCCTCCGGCTGAGCACGGCCATCTTCTCCTGAGGGACCCCGTGTGCCACAGGGCGCCGACGATGGCTTCTGCCTGGGACAGCAAACGTCACCACTCAACCCTGGACAGCGCAGCAGCTTTCCTCCCCAGTCTCCTTGCTGAGGGCTCCCTCCAGAGCAGCCGTCTCGTTCAGCCCATCCACGGAGTGCTGCTCTTTGCGGACATTTCAGGTGGGGTGAGCAGGGAGGAGCAGCCATGGGCACGAGCCATTTTGGGACAGACCAGGCCCTTTGGAGCCGTGCCCTTGCCCCTCAGCCGGAGTGGCCATCTTGTCACTGCTGAGCTCTTCTGCTGGGGTGCCCAGAGAGAGCAGGATGGGTTATCTTGGGCGGTCAACACTGCTGCCACCGGCCCTGAGCCGGGGCATGGCAAGGTGTGACCTACAGGCTCTCGGGCCGGGCAGCGTGGAACTGGCTGCCAGGTCCTTAGGCCCACACGGGCACTCCATGATTGCTGCGTGTCCCTTTTACAGGTTTCACTGCTTTGACAGATAAATTCCTCCAGAGGAGCAGCACAGAGAGAGGCACTGATGAGCTGGCGCAAACCCTCAATTACTACATGTGTGACATTTTGAAGGGTAAGGGCCATGCTGTCGGACTGTCTGGCATTGGGCCGTGAGGCTGCTCATGGAGGGCGGAGGCCGACATGCTGGGCAGCCTGGTCCTGCCTCTGTGGAAGGGCTGGGGCTTTCTGTGGCCCAGAGGAACAGCCAGAGCAGCCAGGGTCTCCTGGCGAGTCAGGACCAGCGCAGGTCCTTTCTGCTCCTGCTTTCTCAGCAGCCACCTCTGTGCCTCTGGCGTGAACACCCGGCTCCGTGATGCGTTAGGGCCCCCAGCAGGCTGAGGGCACCCGGCAAGTGCCAGTGCGCAAGCGACCCGAGGATGCTGGCACTGATGTGTGTGTGTGTGTGTGTGTTTGTGTGTGACCCTCACGAGCCCCTCGGCGCAGGGCACATCTTGACCCTTCCGAGCTGACCGTGAGCACATTGTGGCCACCCCTTTAGCAGCACTTGTAGAGAAAAGCAAGGGAGTCCCCAAAGATGAGGAAGGGTCTGGAGCATCTCTGCTACGAGGAAAGGCTGAGAGAGCTGGGACCGCTTAGCCTAGAGAAGAGAAGGCTCAGGGGGGATCTTAGTAATGTGTCTAAAAGCTGAAGGGAGGGTGCAAAGAGGACAGAGCCAGGCTCTTTCCAGTGGTGCGCAGTGTCAGCACCAGAGGCCACGCCGCGGGCACGCGCTGAAACACGGGAGGTTCCCTCTCTATGTCAGGAAACACTTTTTGACTGTGGGGGTGACTGAGCACTGGCCCAGCTTGCCCAGGGAGATTGTGGAGTCGCCCTCCTCAGAGCTATTCAAAAGCCATCTAGCCACCGCCCTGGGCAGCTGGCACTGCGCAGCCCTGCTTGAGCAGCGTGGTTGGACCAGACAGACCCCAGAGGTGCCTTCCAGCCTCCGCCTTTCCGAGGTTTGGTGGCACCTCGAGGCCCTGCCTCCCTGCCTGCTGTGTGGGTGCCAGGGCTGGGGCCACTGTGAGCCTGGGAGACGGGCCGGAGTGGTGCTTTCCTGAGCTGTGCCCCAGGGTGCACCCTTGCCCAGGCGCTCCTCTCCGGGCAGAGGGGCTTGCTCTGCGGCTTCTGGAAGAAGGTGGCCGCGTGACTCTTCCTTTTCTTCCCTCTGTCCGCAGAGATGCTGAATTTTGGAGGAGACATCTTGAAGTTTGCCGGTACGTACTCAGCACGACGATGCCCACGCGTACTGATCTGCAGCATTTAACTGATGTGGCGGCCGTTTGCTCTGCTCTCCTTCTCAAGAGGCTCTGTGCAGCCCCTTGAGCCAGCTTTCTGGCCACGCACGCACCCCCCGCTGCAGTGCCCTTTCTCCAGGCTTCCCGTTGCCCCCGGGCCTGCCTGCGGTTTGGCTTTGCAAGGGCTGTGGCTCCCCTCACTCTGCCCCCGCCTGCAGGGCCCTGGGGGCAAGGAAGCACTGAGAGGAGGAGACCCCCTAGAAAGCGCAGCCCAAGGCGCGTGTTGGGGTGGCAGCGAGGGGCAGGGAGGCCCTGGTGATGCAGAGCTGGGGCTGCCAGGCCGCGAGGGGAGGAGGAGTCCCTGGCGTGCTGCAGCCGCAGAGCAGCACTCGGGGCAGGGGGTGGCACCGCTGCCGGCTGGCTGCTGCTGCGGCTGGCCCGGGAGAGGAGAGGGGGCCCGCTGCCCAGGGTGTGGTCCTCCAGGACGCTGCCCTCCCACAAGCCCATCTTCCTCAGCACGTTGTCCGGTTTCTGCTGTCCCTGCCACTGAGCGTAGGTCGGGGAGAGCCAAGTCTCGGCAGCGCCTTTGCCTTCCCCTCGCTTTCCCCAGGGGATGCTGTGCTGGTGCTGTGGAGAACGTCACTCCAGGAGCTGGCTAAGACCATCACCCTGGTGCTGCAATGTAGCCAGCAGATCCAGAAGAAGTATGGGAGTCGCGACACGCCCGTGGGTCTGAAGATCCAGCTGAAGATAGGTACGGGTGCTGTGCCAGGCGCAGACGCGTGGCACTCTGCCGTGCCGCAGGGTGCTTCGCACCGGCAGGGGATGCGGGGATCCCTGCTGGGGCTACTGCCAAAGGAAAGCATCTCCTGCCAGCATTCAGGGGGCCAGCTGTAGTCAGAGCAGGGATGGGAGACCAGGACTGCTGGGTTTGCGTGCGTTGGCAGATGCAGAGGGAGCTTAAAGGCAGAGCGGGGCTCAGATCAAGTATTGGGGCCTTTGAATGGCTGCTTTAGCGCAGATGTCTGTGGGAGGCAGTTATCCTTTCATTTTTCCAGCTGGGGCAGCTTTGCATCCTTTCCCCTGCTGGATTCTCCCCTGCCTTTGGCAAAGAGCAAAAGGGCACCGCTTTGCGTACAGCTGTGAGAAGGGCTTTTGCAGGCTGCTGTGTTTTCTCCAGCAGACAGCTACAACCTGCCTGCACGTCAACGGAGCAGGCGGTGCTCAAGCCCGCTGGTTTGCTGGGCGTCTGGGGCAGGCAGCTGGGTAAGACGCCTGGCACTCTCACGTCTCAGCGACACGTTGTCAACGTCGCCTTCGTTTGTCCGTTTCTAGACCCCCGTTTCAGGGACCTGTGTCAGTACCCCCCCGAGGAGGATGCCCTCCCCCTCCACAACGCCCGTCTCCCCGCTTGGGCTTCAGATGAGCTTCTGAACAGCTGAGATGCTGGGGACTGTAGAGCTCCAAACGTTCCCTGTGTCAGTTGTGCTTCTCCCTCTCTCTCTCACCAGGCATCTCCGCAGGGCCCATGAGCCTCCTGATTGCCGGAGATGGGAGGCGGCAGTACTTCTGCATCTATGGCCAGGCCCTGGCTGAAGTTCGTGAGGCCGAGCAGCTTGCGAAGGCAGGTGAAGTTGTCCTCTCAGCCACCGCCTGGGAGCTCTGTGAGCAGCGCCGGCTCAGGACCAAGCGTCTTGAAGGCAAAAGAGCTGTGAAGGTAGGTGGATCGGACGGCCTCTAGAGCCATTCTGAGGAGCCGGACCTGGCCGTGAAGGAGGGAGGTGTCGGAAGGCTGAGGAGCTGAACGTGGCTCACAGTTGTAGCAGTGAAAGTGGGCAGGCGGCTGAAGCTCTTGTCCTTCCCTCTCAGGGGTAACTGTGGGCCAGGCTTGCTTGGTTTGAGGGGTCGGGAGGCACTGGACGGGTTTTGGCCCCACCAGCAATGTCCTCTGTGGGTCACGGAGCTGTTGTTGCCAGCTGGGGGATGCCTGGAGGATGCCTGCCCAGCTCCGGTGCTTCTGAGGAAGCACTGCAGTCCCATCCCGCCGGGTGGGCTTGTTCTGCCCTTTCCTGGGCAGTGACGGTGGAGGGCAGGCTCTGTCCCCTGGGACTGCTGGGGAGGCCAGTGGCAGTGCTTTCATTCTGTGTGTCTTCAGGTTACAGGCGTGGATCAGCTGGCTCAGTCAGAACGCCAAGACACTTTACGCAAGCTTGTACGCCGCCAAATGAGTCACCCCTCGGAAGAGGAAAGTGAGTGCAACCTTCCCCTTGTTCCGTGATTGCCAGAGAGGAAGCACCGCCACCCTCTTCCCCCTTTCGGGTAGCACTCCTGCTTTTGGTCCTCCTGGGCATGAGCTGGGGCATCGCTGCCGCCGCCTCCTCCTTCCAGGGGACAGCTCCGCCCTGAGCGTCTGGAGGTGGCAACAGGAGCAAACGCATAAGACTCTTTCTGCCCCATTTCCAGTGCCGGCCCCTGCTTTCCAACACCTCGTAGTCCCATCCTCCCAGCGATCACCTGCGTCTTCTCTCCTCAGGTGCCCCGAGTCCTGCTCTTCTCGTGCCCACTGATCCTGAGGGGGGGGAGGTGCTTATGAAGTACGTGCCAGAAGCTGCTGTCAGGAAGGTACGGCCAGGCCGCCACTGCGGGGGGCTGCTGCATTTCTGGAGGGCAGAAGAAGGGGTGCATGGCAGAGATGGAGTTCTCACGAGAACAGACCAACAAAAGAAAATGCACCCTGAGACGACATCGCAGGGAATCTGAGCCAAGGGGCACCGGTGCTGCACCGTTGTGCGCGTTGTCCTCAGAGAGAGACGGGTGGGATAAAAGGGAGAGCCTCCTGAAGTGCCTAGAGCACCCCTGAGGGTCTTCCCTCATGTCCATGCCTGTCCCAAGATGGGGTGTTACCGGAGCGCCTTTCTCTCCTTTGTCATTTGTGTTATGGTTCGGTATCTGCCTGCCGCAGGCTGGGCCGCCTGCCCGCCATTTGCGCCGCGAGGAGGATTATCCCTTCCTCCGGTAGCACCTGCTCTTGCCAGTACGCCTGCTCTCCCTCGGTATCTGGCGTGGGCAGTGAGCCGCCGGGAGAGCAGGATGGTGAAGCTGTCGTGCTCTTGTCTTACAGCTCGATGGCAGAGTGCCGCTGGACCTCTTCTCTGAGCTACGGCCAGTCACCAGCCTCTTCGTCCACCTGCAGCTGGCTGCAGATATCAACGCAGTGGATATGTGCACCCTCCTCCACAACGTCAGCAGGATGATGCTAGAAATCCTCAGTCCTCACAAGGCTGAAGTGAACAAAGTCCTCCTGTTTGATAAAGTGAGTGTGGGGGAGCGATCGCCTCCCCGCGCCCCGAGAGGGTGGGCAGCGAGCAAGAGGGAGTGACTCCCTCTCAGGCACTGTAGCAAGGTGTGCTGCATCTGTCCTTGGCAGGGCTGCACGTTCCTCTGTCTGTTTGGACTCCCTGGAGTAAAGCTGCCCTGTGAGAGCCTTCACGCCTTGCAGAGTGCTCTTCAGATCCTCACCTTGTGCTCCACGACACGCGTGGAAATAGAGTGAGTCAGCGTGTGGCGGGGTGGGGGGGTGCATGCTGCCTGGGACAGTGCAAGGGGCCTTTACCAGAAAGAGATGTGCCTTCTAGCTTGCCCTCCCTTGTCCCTGGCAGGCAGGAGGCAGTGCCCTGAGAGGTGGCAGGGCCCAGCCACCTGATGTCAAGTTTCTGTCGCCGCAGGTGGTGATATCGTGGGTGCCACCTTCCCTCCCTCTTTGCTCGCGAGAGGGCTGTGGCCTGCTGCAGGTTGCAGCCCAGGGAACGTGGCCTCAGGGGAAGTGTCCAAAACTTCCTGCGTGCGCTCTACCCCTGTCCCTTGTCCCTTGCAACATGGGTATGTTGCACCCCCGAGCTCTCCACGGCCCCAAGACCCGTGCCGGCAGGGCAGGACAGCAGGCAGCCCAGGCTAGCGCCGAGAGGAGGTGCGGGAAGGGATGAAGCTGGGTGGGCAGGACCGCGCCTGGGGCGCTGCTGAAGCCACCCTTTTTCCCTGTGTGCCAGGGAGGTGTCTGTTGCGGTGACCAGCGGGACGGTGTTCTGCGGAGTCACTGGCCACCCTCAGAGGCATGAATACACAGGTACGAGGCGTGTGTCAGAGGCGCGGGAGGCTGGGCTTAAGCACAGCGGTCTGGAAGAGGAAGGCGGGCTGGGAGAGCGCTTGCCCAGCAGCCGGCCAGGAACGGCCTAGGCAGCGCCGGTCCTGGCGCGGGGCGGGAGAAGGGGCTCCGTGGCCGGTTGTTCCCCCGGGTTCTGCTGACCCTGTTGTGGGGTTGGCCTGTGCCGGAGGCGAAGGCAGCCATTGGCCTGGAAGGACACCGCAGGGCTGGTGGCACAGGTCCATCAACATGTGCTCTCCCTCTCTCTCTCTCCAGCCATAGGCCAGAAGGTGAATTTGGCAGCCCGCATGATGATGCACTACCCTGGGCTGGTGTCCTGTGATGCAGTGACCTATGCCGCCTCTCGGCTGCCCCCTTGCTGCTTCCAGGAGCTGCCGGAGGGAGAGACGAAAGGCGGGA